TTTGCAAATTCCATAAATTTTTCCAACCCTTGACCATATGCTTATGAAACTTGATTTGTTGTATGATCAATTCTCTCATACATTTACCGTCTAGTAGCATATACATCGCTACTTGAAGACATTAAGATAACCTGTAATTATAGTTGAGAAGAGAATATGAGATGAATTTTTGTATGGAAACTAGATATTCGACTAGATCAAAATTAGTTCATCAGATCAGTAGCTTCATACATTTTTGACTATGAAAAAATCAAAACACGTTGGAATCGTAACAATTCGCTCAACGAGAAGCTTTAGTCGTCTTGTAGCTTGACTTTTGTGATTTTCGTTCTTTTCCACTTAGGACTTATTATTATGTTATTGTATTTTCATTAATTTAAAGCGGTCAAAATATAGAATGTAAGGACCAGCAATTAAAGAAACCGTCTTAGAATTTTTTAGAGCAATAAAATTTCATTAAAGGGCCTCAAATTTTTCTAATGGAGCCTAGAAAACTTCAGAATATTCTAAAATTTTCAATAAAGCGCCTCAAATTACTAACATTACGAGAGCCAATACTTAACCCATCTCTCTTCACTCGACAAAAAAAATCGCTCTCGCCACTTCTCTTCAATTAGAGCAATTGGGTTTCAGAGATCTCATTCAAAAGGTAGTTCTACGTAATTCTAGTTTTTGAAAAGTTAATCCATAGTTGAATTGCTTAGCTAGTATCAGCTTGTCGTAATTTTGTTAACCTTAGAAGAAAATGTTTGTTAAATCAGTATTCTGGTTGTTATTGGATTTGGCCGTAGAAGAGTCGAATTGTATCCGAGGAACAAGTAGATCGAACTATGTAGAAATAATTATATTTTACTTGTTATTTTGGCTTTTTTGGTTTGTAATACTAAACGACTAGATTTTTTCTCTTATTAGCCGAATCTAGACTTTTGATTGAAAAATGACGGCGTTGTTCTTTTTGATTATAGTTATTCTAGAAGATCTCGTTGGTTTTTGTTTATTGGATTGTTGATGATTACTGAAATTGATTGTCAGAATTTATCTAAATGTTGTAAGCTTTCACTTGGTACAGTTTGAGATTGATAAGTTCTGATTTTTCATGTGTTTATAGTGTACATATGGAAGAGCCATATGTCGATAGTACAAGTTTACCCATGCTGCATCCTTTTCGGAGAAATGGAGCTAAATGGTATGGATTTATTTTCTAAATACACTGATTTTGCACAAATTTATACCCATTAAGTGTTTTATTCCAATGGAACAGGTTTAAACACCGCACTGAAGTACCAACTGGTGTGAGAAAGGCAATCAAAGTTGTTTCAAAGGACCATGGCGCTATTGGAAAAAAGTGTCACCTTACTATAAACAAACATGGTTCTCTCTGTTTAAGGTATTCTTTCTGTTATATTTCATCTAAGTTCCTATATTACTCATGATGTCTCTTATGCTCTGTTTTTCAGAAAAAAATTGAACTGGGATGCTTCTATCAATTATCAAGTTGAAGTAGAATTTAACAAAGTTGCTGCTTATCAACTCAAAGGAA